TGTACGGGGCCGCCGCGTGGTGTCATAAAGCACCAACTGACCTTAGAACCTTTAATTGCACAACTTGGCCAGTAGGACGTAGCGAGATGGATGGCTTTGGTGTATTCCCAAGGTCGACAGATACTCGATGCTACACTCATTGAGGTTTAACTTATGAGTTTTGTTTGATTACGAGTCAATCATTGATTGAACAAGGCTTGGGGGAAAGATCAGTGATATTGAGATCCCTTAGAACCCGTTTACTATTTATAGGACAAGTTGAACTAGTCCAGCTTCAAGAGGGTATGACCGTAAAACCGATGCAAGCCTAAACCTAAGGTTGTTTGCGTAACTTGTGTGCTTTCAACTTGAACTACTTGCAGAGTTTTATTACCTGACAACATGAGTTCCTTGCAGGTTTTGTTTATAGTTATTATCCAATAACTTGGATTTCTTGCAGGGTTTACTTGCTTACATCACTTCACACCTTTGCTTAAAAGCATAACATATACATCATAACATAACGCCTTAACATTTCCTTAACCATTTCAAGGATCTCGAGGGCCTGTGATGCAGGTTATGATAAATCATACGTCTAGCAAGGGGCAAGGGGATTTATTTTCCTCTAGCCAATGTCGTCAGAAGATCAAAACTTAATAACTTGAGTCAGTGGCTATGATCCACTTGATATGGTGAGCTTGACTCTCGTAGAATGACTCTCAATGATACAAAGTTCTTCAATCAAAGCTGCAAAATTCAACTTTTGACATTTTCTTGTTTACCCCGCGAGATCCTTGAAAACATTGCATACATATATAATACATATCATTGCATAAGCAGGTTTCAAAGCAGGTCTCTCATGTTCTCGCTGTTTATTTCAGTAATGGCTCTCCAACAAGACAACAGAGATCTCCTAGCTCAAGATGCCCAGTTCAAGGAATTTCTCCTGAATCTATCCAAGGGGCAAGAAGACCTGAAAACACTATTTGTCGGGAATCTGACCAAGGAACGTCCTGACAACAACAAGGATGAACAATTGGAACAACTGCAAGATGAGGTAGAAGTAATGAGAATCCAGATGCTGGGGCAAATGGCTCTTATCCAAAACTTAGCTCGAGGACAAGAAAGGCTAAGAGCCTTCCTCAACAAGCTTCACCAAGATGGATGCAGATCCATGAAACAAACAATTAAAATTGTGGATCAAGGCATTAATTAGCCCCCAGTGAGAGAAGAGGTTGGTTTGTAGGGATGGCAACGGGGCGGGTCGGGTTCGGGTTTAGCTAACCCCGCACCCGCAACTCCAGTAATAGACCCGCCCCCGCCCCCAAACCCGCCGGGGGATGGAAATTCACCCCCAGACCCGCCCCCAATGGAGAACGGGTCACCCGCACCCGCACCCACCCCCGAAAACTGTTTTTTTTTTAAATAAAAAAATATCTATTTTTTTCACAAATTTCCTAGACAGCATTAACAAATACATTAAAAATACAAAATTCGCCATTGATTTGAGTAAATAATTGTAGGATTTAATATTCAAACACCATTCCAAATATTTTTCTATCATAACCCTTCAATCAACTATAATTGGTTGTGAACTTGTGATTCATTAAAAGAGTGTAATCTTTCAATATATCAAAGTATAAATCACTCTCAACAACCAACAATTTTTTTGCAAAGTACAAATACAAAATTAAAACAATATAATCAACAAAAGAATCATTCCAACAACATGGAACAAAATAACCATTCCAACAACATGGAACAAAATATATGATATCATCATAACAAAAAAAGATCCAAATAAACAACAAATTTTCTAATAATCTTCATCTTCGAGGCAGGAGTTGGAAATAGAAGTAGCACCATCAATCAACAACTCACCTGTGTTAAAAAATAAAAGTTAAAATATAAAAATTTAACTTGACAAATTTAATACAAATAGTATGAATAATACCTTCATCATCAGACTCCATTTCAGTTAGTAAAATAGCATTTTCATTTCCCACGTTAGATTTCAAATTACCTATCAATATAGTAAAATATAGTCAATGATAGTCTTGGCAAGTAAAAATAAAAAATATAAACAAGAAAGATCTTTACCATTATTCTCAGCACTCCATAACCAACTTCTTGCACACATCAAAGCTTCTAAAGTGGTCCAATGAAGTCGACTTCGATGAGGGCTTACGATATGACCACTTGTACTAAATGCGGATTCAGAAGCCACGGTAGAAACAGGAATTGCCAATACATCCCTTGCAATTGCTTGAAGTGTTGGATACTTAATCCCATTCAACTTCCACCATAATAAAATATCAAAATCTGGACTTCTTGGTAAAACTTCCTCTTCCAAATAAACATCCAACTCTGTTTTAACAGATGAAGTTCTAGCTCTTTTTTTTCTTATGACATACAAATCATAGTCTTTCAAACCATCATTACTAACATTTCCAACATTAGCATCCAACATTTCAAATTCACTTCTAGAATCCTTGTTCATTTTTAATTGATAATCATAAACTAACTCGTAACACAACTGTCTGATTGACTTAACTTGGGAATCAACATCATTCCCATAGAACACTCCATAATAATATTCAAGCAAATCAGTTTTATACCTAGGATCCAAAACAGCAGCAACCCCCATTATTTCATGAATCACACTCCAATATTTTTCAAACTTTACCAACATATTTTCTGCCATTCTTTTTACCAATTCGTCAGAGGATTCAATCCACTCAAGTAATGAAACTTTAATCTGACAAATCTTAGGGAAGTATTCATTGGCAGTTGGATACTTAGTTCCAGAAAACACTTCAGTGATAGAATTGAACAATTTCAATTTTACAAAAATCTCTTTTACAAATTTCCAATGTAAAGTTGTTGGCAAACAAGTGTACTGAGTTACACGGATTGCTAATCTATCAAATACCTCTTCATACAAAATAGCAACATCAAGCATCTTATAGGTAGAATTCCATCTAGTTGGACAATCTAAAACTAAATTCTTGGTGCAAGGTATTTTTAATTGTTTACATGTCTCCTCAAACCGTTCCTTCCTTTTAGGAGTTGCTGTCCAAAATGCAACGCTATCTCGAATCATCTCTATTCCATCTTTCACAACTTCTGACCCTTCTTTTACTATCAAATTTAGTATATGTGCACAACAACGCATATGAAGTAAGGCCCCGTCCCTTAATAATGTCTCTGGTTTCAACTTAGCCTTAATTTTATCAATCATTGCATCATTTGTGCTACAACTGTCCAAAGTGATAGTAGACAATTTTGAATCAATGTTCCAATCCATCAAACATTCAACCAATGCACCACAAAGGTTTTCACTAGTATGAGGTGCAGGAACATAAATGAACCTAACATAATAAGATTCACAAAACTAGTATAAATGTGATTTACCTCAAAATGTGATTCACAAAACTATATATAATATGCAATTAATCTATTATTAGAAGAAATTATATTTACCTCAAAATGTGATTACAAAACTATATATAATATGCAATTAATCTATTATTCGAAGAAATTAGATTTACCTCAAAATGTGACTCTGTAAATTCCAGTTTCCATCAATGTAATGAGCAGTGACAGCCATATATCCCTTTTTTTGATTGCTCGAGGTCCAAAGGTCAGAAGTAATAGCCACTCTTCCTTCAAGATTTTCTAACAACTTCAAAGTTGATGATCTCTCCATATTGTATACTTTGAGTATCTCCTTCTTTATAGTATTTCTACAAGGAACTTGAAATATTGGTTGGAGAGAAGTTGAGTATCTTCTAAAACCAATATGATCCACTATTGAAAGCGGATACTCATGCAAAATAATTGCATGTGCAAGCTCTTTCTTAGAATTTTCTGCATCATAAATTCCAGTACTCAACTCTTGTTTACCTTGCATAGATCTAGGCGTAAGAATTGTTTGTCCTTTATCAGATAGGTTCAAAATCTTCTTTTTAGGACAACATCCCAAATGTCCTTTTAAATGTGACGTCCCATCATTTGATGATCCATTAAGCTTCTTTGAGCAATAATTACATTGAGCCTTATCTTTTCCGTCAACTTTGACCTTTGTAAAATGATTCCATACAAAACTTTTCTGTCTGGATCGATGACTTGTGGTTGTTTGGCTATCAACCTCCATAATATCATTTGGCGTGGGAGGAGGAACATCAACTGATTGGTTACCACTTTCATTGGGAATTGGTTGATGTGTACTTTCTTGTGAGATAGGTGGACATCGTATTTGAGAGGTATCTTCATTTTCCATAACTAATTATCCTGTAAAATAATTAAGTTGTACATAAGAATAAGAATAAACTAGTATTCAAAATAAGAATAAGGATAAACTAGTACTAATAAATGAAATATATAATAAACTAGTATTAATAAATGAAATATATAATAAACTAGTATTAATAAAATGAATGAAAGTGAATGCAGTTGGACGGTAAAACAAAATGGATTTTCTAATTTAATACTATTATAATAAGAGTACAAAATTGTTGAATGTAAAACAAAACAGCATCCAATTTAATACTAAAAAATTGTTGAATGTAAAACAAAACAGCACCAAATTGCGCAATATTTAATGAGTGTTTAAAGTAATATTGAAATAGACATTGCTTTTGTATGCAACTAATTCTAATGCCTGACTTTGACTTATTACTAACTAAATTAGACTTTATAGCTAGCAGCTAGGCCTCCCTTCTTTTGACTATGTCCACAATCCACATGCCATTCATCACACTACTAATTCTTCACTCTTGTCTGTGTGGTCTCTTGTTTTGCCACTCAATTTTCTTTTTCTCTATTCACTCTTTTCTTACGCATTTACTTCATCTTTTCCTTTAACTCACCCAAAGTGTCATCAATATGAAAGCCATGCGTTGTTGGATCCATCTATTGAGCTTCTAAGAAAGATTGTTTTCTTGAATTTAAAAGGTTGCAAAAGTCTTGTAAGCATACCCAACAACATATTTAGTCTCAGCTCTCTTAAAGTTCTAAAAATGTCTGGGTGTTCTAGGTGTTGTTTCAAAGAGTTTAGCAATACAGGGCATTTGGATATAACTGAAACTGCTTCACATTCCCAATCAACGTCCTCCATCTACAAATGGACCTCAAAGCCTTACCACTCCTTGTTTTCCACTCCCACAACAGACACAATTATGTTTCCTTCCTTACTTAGCATATATTGTTTACATGAAGTTGATATTAGCAATTGTGGTTTAAGTCAACTATTCCCTGAGGCAATTGGATGCTTACACTGGTTAGAAATGTTAAATCTTGGAGGGAACAATTTTGTGACACTGCCTAGCCTTGGGGAGCTTTTCAAGCTTGTATATTTGAACTTGGAGAATTGCAAGAAATTGGAATATTTGCCCGAGCTTCCTTTCCCTACTACAATCGAGCAGGATCTTCGAAAGAACAAATATTGGAAGAGAACAGGATTGTTCATTTTCAACTGTCCTAAACTAAGTAGTAAGGAAAGATGCAGTAGAATGACATTTCCATGGATAACACAATTCATTAAAGTGAACAAATAAAACCCTGCCTTCTTTAATATTGGTATCATAATTCCAGGAAGTGGAATACCCTGTCTTCTTTTGCCTCATTGCTGAAACAAAACTCCAATTCTGCCATTCCAAAAAGAGATTGCAAGCACTATCTCTTATGGATTGTGAGTTGTATGGTGAATTTCCAGTTGCAGTATTTCATCTTTCAAAATTGAAATATCTGAATTTGGGATATAATCCAAATCTCATTGACAGTTTGCCCGAATTTCAGTCTAGTTCACTCACCCAGTTATACCTTGAATACACAGGTTGTCCGAATTTCAGTTTAGTTCACTCACCCAGTAGTTATACCTTGAATACACAAGTTTTAAAGATACACTTCATGTATCCATAGGAAAGCTTATCTCTTTAAGAACCCCATCAATTGAAACTTAGCTCTTTAAGAACCCTATTCAGAACCCTATCCACCAGGAAACCTAACACAACTCATACAGATAGACCTTCGACGTAACCTATATTATCCTTGGTAAATATTGACAGTGACACTGACATTCCATAATCTTTTGCAAATCTCACCAAACAAGAGATATTAGATGCTGGTAAATTAAAACCTAATAGGATGATAGAGTACATAGATGATAGATCTAACCTTTCAAATCCAGTGGCTGAGCAAAGGGGCTGGTGTGCGGCGAAGTCGATGGGATGATGTTGTGGTAGTGGTGATGGCAGCAACGCCGTCGGTCGTTGCGGACTTGCGGTGATTTTGCGTTGAGATTTGAGAGAAGAAGATGAGACTTGAGAAAATGCTTCTAAGAAGCTGAGAAAATAAAAGTAACATAAAAATAATTAAAACAAGGTTATTATAGTAATTGGATTATTCGGGGCGGGGCGGGTGCGGGTGCGGGCGGGTCTCAGTGTCTTACCGCCCCCGCCCCCGCACCCGTAGTTAGAAACCGGGTTTTACCCGCCCCCGCACCCGTACCCATTTTAGCCGGGTTTTCCCCATTAATTTCGGGGCGGGTCCGGGCGAGGCCCAACGGGTCTGGGTTTTTTTGCCATGCCTATTGGTTTGGTCAAAAACAAACCTTTTCCAGATTATTACTACATCACAAGCCCAACCACAACCTCGCAAACGATAATGGGGAAATCGGCATAAGAAGAATACATTCGAAAGATGCTTTATCGAAATCAACATGTCATTGGCTCAAGCATTGCAACGCATGTTGAAGGCCAAGTTGGTTGTGTTAAGGGACCCTCCTCAGAATTCCAACATAGCCTCCCTAAGGTACAATCCAAATGCAATATGTGTGTACCACTCCAACAGTCCTGGACATGACACCAACAACTGTTGGGCATTGAGAAATAAAATTCAAGACCTGATTGATGAAGGAGTGCTAGAATTCGCACAAGACAGTCAGGCTTAGTTCTTCTGCCATCCCTCCAAGGCATACCATATGAAGTGACAAGTTCTCACAAGAAGACTTTTCGTTCATTAGAATTTTCAATGTGTAATTTTATTTTGATTTGTTTGAACATTTATTCATATCAAACCTCGTTATTTCATCAATGTATTGCACATGTTTGTCTTGAATTAATTCATTCGTATTCACTATTTCAAAAATGTGTTCTTATTTCCTTTTATGATATTCAACTCTCGACTAAAAACTCTAAGCCTTAGAGGTAGGATGATGAAAATGATACCATAATCTCTACAGTATGCTTTTGAACAGACCCCGCTGACAATGTACATGCGTTGTTTCAAATCCTAAACAGTGGAGTTATAAGGAAGATAATCCCTAGTCAACCCCTTCGAGCCAAAGAAGTAAAAGTTTTTCTTTTCACACAAATTAAAACCCTTAATCATAACTTAGGGCAGGGTAATTTTCTCAGTTGATTCAGAGGCGCATTCAGTCACAATCTGCCGCTTTGTACACAATGAATGGCATCGAAGACGTCCTTCCAAAACAAAAGACGATGATGGTTCCGTATAATCGTCAAGACATGCAGTTATTATCTCTAGAAATAAAAACCCATTAATTCAAAACCAATGAAGGAGACTTAAGAGAAAAATTGGGGCATCCCGCTGACTGTAATCACAAAAGAAACAGTTCAAGCAAAAGAAGGGATAACGAAGACAAAAAAAAGAGGTTACTATAAATCCTCGACAAAAAGAAGATTACAAAAATGAATGCCTTTTCAAAACAAATGTTCAATTTCTGAATCATCACCAAGTATCAGAGCAAAGATTCCAGACTCAATCGGCATCTAAATGCGTAATTAACTGAGCATAGGACTGAAGAATATCACGAAGAGCGGGTTGGGTACAAATAAAATTTGAGCCTTTATCCTTTGTTTCGTGAACCATGAACCAGACCACGTTATAACCCTTAAAAGTCCAGCTGAAGCATGGGTTAGTTTGAGAGCATATTGTTACAAAGGTATCCTAGCTTCTGTATGCTTTGTTACGAATCCTGAGTTGATATCACATTCTTGCAAATTTCGTTTTACTACACAAAACACATTTTCAAAAAAAATTTCAAGATAGACATGAGTTTTGCATTCTTTAAATGACATTGTCTGCATATGACTAATCATTTGACAGCAGAGAAATCCGCACAGTGGATATTCAATGAACAAACATCCTCTCAATGGACAGAATCACCTCAGCGGGAAAGACACTTCCAATAACAAGTCTTCCATAAGCAAGGGGCATGACATGATGTCTAAACACACCGGGGGTAGTCTCTCCAAAAGTGCCAAATAACCAGGGGCAGATCTCCATCTGAATCACTTGGGGCATTACACATGCATTCCAACAATGAATCATGTGCCATCAAGAAAACATTTTTGACAGTACTATAACACAACACTATGGACAGTGAAACCTCTCTACATCCTGAAAGCATGGATATAGTCGGAAAATACTACGCATGAAAAAAAATACCCGCTAGGTTGACACACCTAGGCAAAAATAAGGGAATCCCTATGAACCAAAAGGGTTCGGGCAAAAGTTAGGGATATGCATTAAAAAAATCTGTACACCCGACAAGTCGAAAACCTGAAAAGGTGGCTTGGGCAACAAGGTATCCCGGTGGACTGAAAACCCGAAAGGGAAGTCCAAGCAAAAGTTAGGGATTTAAAACGTACGACTATGTACCATCACTTGTCTATCAGTGGAAGACTTATACCTTGATCAACATTCATCAAGATTTCCAGAATCGAGAAACGATTCAGATACGATCCAGATACGGATGTCATTCTGCTACTTATTCAAGATTTTCATACATCGAGAAAGGGTTCAGATACGATCCAAATACGGATGTTATTTTGCTACTTATTCAAGATTTTCATACATCAAAACGGTTCAGATACGATCCAGATACGGATGTTATTCTGATACTTATTCAAGATTTTCATACATCGAGAAACAATTCAGATACGCTCCAGATACGGATGTCATTCTGATACTCATTCAGATTCAGCTTTCAGATACAGTTTAGATACGCTCTAGATACGGATGCCATTCTGATACTCATTCAGATTCAACTTTCAGATATAGTTCAAATACGATCCAGAGACGAATGTCATTCTGACACTCATTCAACACATGTTTAAAGTACAGTTCAGATACGATCCAATGACGGATGTCATTCTGACACTTATCCAACACATGTTTCAAGTATAGTTCAGATACGATCCAGAGACGGATGTCATTATGACACTCATTCGACACATGTTTCAAGTATAGTTCAGATACGATCCAGAGACGGATGTCATTCTAACACTCATTCGACACATGTTTCAAGTATAATTCATATACGATCCAGAGACGGATGTCATTCTGACACTCATTCGACACATGTATCAAGTACAGTTCATATACGATCTAGAGATGGATGTCATTCTAACACTCATTATATACATGTTCAAGTACAATCACGACATAGATCCATCCACAAAATCTCCGCATGTACTTTTTCCAGCATGGTACAAGGGGCAGAGACAGTTGGAAGAGAAGTCACTATCATATACACGCCCGTGATATTTGTATTCCCCACAAAGCCGAGACAACCAAAGTCCAACCTCCGTATCCCCAAGCAGGAATTCCTTCCCCAGCAGGTCCTTTCAGAAAGCTGATATCTGTATTCCCTGGCCGAGTTTTATAACCATGAGCAGTTTATAAAGCCATCTCTCAAGCAGAGTTTATTTCTATGATAGTGGAAGCTCAATCTCCAATAGAGCTCTTCTCTCCAGCAATGGAAGTTCATCCCTAATTGAGTTTATTTCTCCAAATCAGCAGATCTTCCAACAAAGTATCTCTCTTCCCCAGAGTCATTCCCCACAGGATTATTCTCAGACAGAGTCTCCTTCGGAAGAATGGATGTAAATCCCCAGCTAATCATCTTCGGTCACTATCCTCAGCGAAAATGAAGAACTCAACTCCTTATAGTCTCCAGCAGCAGTCCAGGATTTATTTTCCCCAGCTAGAGAATATCACAATAGCATTGCATATCCATACATCATGGCATGTGCATACATATTATACAGCAGAATCTCATTTATTTTGAGAACATCCTTACTCAATACATTTCATACATCATGACATTACATGCGACTAACTCTTTACCTTTCAGGGAAAGATACAATCAAGTTCTCACGAGTTCTCTCTGGTTCAGTCAAACCGACACTAAGGTTTCTATTCCAGTTGAAGATATTCCAACACTTTTCCATATTTTCTCTGGTTCAGTCAAACTGACACTAAGGTTTCTATTCTAGTTGAAGATGTTCTAAGACTTTCGTCTGGGTCAGCCGAATTGCCGCTAAGATTCCCCTGATTTCTATGCCAGTCAAAGTTAATCCGAGACCTTTCCCAGGTTCAGTCAAATCGATACTAAGATTTCTCTCCCAGTTGAAGATAACTCGAGGCCTTTCCCTGGTTCAGTCAAATCAATACTAAGATTTATATTCCCTTAAAAAAAGCTATGAAGCTTGGAAATTGACCGGATAATATCTTAATTTCTCCAAAATAC